GCAGAGGTTACAGGCAATAAAATACTTTCTGGGTCACTGAAGGAACATGTGTAGGAATTACCTATACTTTTTTAACACGGTGTAGCATACATTTTACTCCCTAGCACTAGCTCTGCAAAGCCATCTGGTGTGGCAGATAGTGGGAAGAACAGGATCATAGCATTTGCTCTACCACACAAGCTAAACCCCCTTGGGGGCTTCAGCACAGTTGGCAGCACTATGACTCCAATGTTCCTTGTGTTTAAGGAGTCTTGAAGCTTTTGCATCATTATGCAAGGAGGTTAGAGGGCCCAAAATCTGGCCCTAAAATTATTTCTCTGAAAGTGATACAGTTGAGTGCTAAGGAAAGAACTGGGTATTATTTTTAGTTTATAGTTTTTGCTTATCAATGTGTCATCTTTACTCTTGCAATGTTCATTTGACCCATATTGTCAAGTTCCCATGTAAATCAGATTATAATTAAGGACCAGTCAAGATGAACCTTTGTTCAGTAGCAAAGGCCACTATGGTTTGTGCCAGCTGACTTTTGAGGCAGGTTCAAGTAAATGGAGGGATTTTTTATTGAATTAATTGATAAGTGAAAAATAAATCACTATAGGATCTCTTATGTTATTTAATTTGATAGTAAACTCTATTCGTTTTATGGATCAGGTTAAAGGGGCATTTGGGACCTTGGACACTTGGTTTGGAATTTTGGCACCTCAGAATGGTTGAAGTTTTGGCAGAAGAGACAGTAGATTTTACAAAAGGGCAAAAGGCAGTCATGAATGAAATGACTGGTTGTGTTGCATGGGTGGTAAGAAGGGGTCAGGATGGGGAATGAAAAGAAACAAGTGCCAAGCAGTATGAAGAGACTAAGGACTTGTCTGCATAGTGTGGTGTGCTCTATGGGGGTATGATTTCTAAAAATCAATAACATCTTGTGCATCAATTGTTTTGTGTAGACTCTGCTGGTTGCACTAAAGTTTCTCTAGTATGCTATAATATAGTACTGTTTCAAACAATACTACATTAAGCACACCAGCATCATCTACATAGACCAATTAATGCACAACATGTGTAGACAAGCCTTCAGTTAAGTACAGCTGTGACGATGAGGCTAAAGAATCTGAAGCAGAAGATGAGAATGCAGTGAAGAGGTTTGACTAGGGGCATTCACTTATTTTGTCTCATTGGTTTCTTGTCTTTCCGCTGAACGCTGTAACCAACAATTTGCTTTTCATTGCCTATCCCCCACTCTGTCTTAATTTTCAGTATTTTTTTTAATCTCACATCTTTGACCATCCCCTTGTAAAGCCAAAGTGGCTGCTTCTTTTTTGTGTGTTTTTCCCCTCTGCAGTATTTCTAGTCTATCTGCCCTGTAGGATTTTTCAGCTGTTCTGTCCTATAGGATTTCTCAGCTACCTTCTGAGCTATTGGATGTGAATTCAAGTTCCCACTAGTCCTTATCCAAATCCTGCAGTAGTTACATTCCTTATTTATCCTTTACTACTTAGAAAAAGAAACTTCCATTGAAGTTTATGGGAGATGAAGGGGCTGAGCACCTCAGGATTTGGCTCTTAATGTCCAATGAATGTGGCAGCCACCATATTGGCCAATATATGAAGGATTGAACCAGGCACTCCCAGAGCTAAAAGTAAGAATTTCTACAGCTTGAGCTAAACAAAGAGGCTCTATAGCTGAGATCTGCAGTAGACTCACATCTTTTACTGACTGGGCATAGAGAAGGACCCATAACACACACTGACTGATGAGTTACACCTGTGCAGCACTCAGAGCAAAGAAAAAAGCTCAAGGACTGATTAATTAGAGGGGAAACTCTAAAAGGTTCTGAGGCACATGAAGACATCTAGCAGTTAAAGTGAATGCCCAAACTGTCCCTGGGACTGGAAGTCCCACGTGATTAGGCTTGCTCATGAGACTCTCATTATTTGGCTTTGAGTGGAGATATTGTAAGAAGAATTTCTCATGTTATTGTAGGTATTTCCTCCAGAGAAAATTAGAAAGGGAAGAAGCACAAGAAGTAAAAACACCAGACACAACTGAGCTTTTTAAAAAAGTTGGTTTGAGATAAGGGAGAAAGTACGATTTGGTTCTCACTACATATCAACAGATTTGTCTATCATTACTGGCCCTGATCTCTGAATCATGCAGCAGTGTAATATGCTAGCACTAGAACTACCAGAACACTGTTATTTCTTGTTTGAACTTACCTACATATTTCATAGATTTGCTGTTCCCTGTCGTGCGATAGCACATTCAAAGTAGGGGAATGATGCAGCTTAGTTTAATAGGTGAGAGTTAAAACACATCAGATCACCTTCCTACTTAAATTATGTGAAAATGAGACTATGAAAATGCAGGACATATTGGAATACAGCCTAAAGTATAGATGAACTATTTTGGCAAAAATTATTTGATTTGTCAAATTCTTTGTGGGAGTCACAGTTTTGTATACGTTGAACATCTCTTATGGCTTTGGAGTGCTCATTCAATAATGTAGCCACATTTACAGCTTTCTCATTTCCCCACTAGAGAGCTGCTAATTAAACAAAAGAAATAGACATATCAAATACACCATCTGTGCCCTGCATTCATCATTCCCTCTGAAAGTCTTTTCTTTGCACAAAAAATGTCTTTTTTTCCAAACGAGAATATGTTTTCCCTTTTGTGTGACACATTCTATGGCCCAGATCCTCATCTGACATAAATTGGCATAACTCCATTGTCTTAAATGGGATTACACAATTTATACCAACTGAGGACCTGGCTGTCTTTCTTTTAAGAGTACAAATCTTTAGATTACCAGTCCGAATTACATTATGGTAAGTATTTCCTTGAGAGAATGACTTGGGCACTGGAGGAAATGCATATGTAATGCAATACAGGGATCCCTTAAGTACTTCTGGAGCAAAGAATAAAAATTTCTGCTGACTTCAAAGTCAGATTTACATTGGTAGGTCAGCCTGACAGAGAATCCACTGGGGATGAGCCTCCTTAATAATCAAGTTAGTAGGAAAACAGATGGGATTAGAAGTGCCAAATGTTTGCCAGCATGTATTAGCCAATCAGGATGAAGTTAAAGTCAAATCTTTCATGAAGGTCTCAGGGTATTGCATAGTAGCAAGCTTTCCTGCCCGTATCTGCCACCCCAACTTCTAGAGAACCAGAGATTCCAATGCCAGATAAGTTTGATGGGGACTGTTACAAGTTCTGTGGTTTCATGAAACCCAGGCGGCTCCTGTTCCTTCTTCAGCTCCCATCATTCTCCACTAACTAGACCTGAGTAGAACTTATTATTAGTCTGGTAACTGGGAAGGACCTATCCTGAGCGTCTACCCTCCTGGAGTCTTCTAGCCCCCTGCTGGGGCAGTTCAAAGAGTTCATCCAAGCTATTGCAATTGTGTTTGATGATCTGAATCACGCACAATCCACTAAGAATTCACTTCAGGGCTGCATCAGGGAAACAGGCTGGTTGCCAAGTTTGCCTGAGAGTTCCAGAGCCTGGCAACAGACACCAAATGGAACAAGGCAGTACAGCACCATCATTTCTGACATGCCCTAAGTGAGGATATCAAGGACAAGCTGGCACAGGTGGAGATGCTGCCTGAGCTGGAAGTCTTGGTCAAGTTGTGTATTAGTACTGATGACTGCCTGACTGGATGCTGCCTGGTGAGAGAGTTGAGTTCCTGATCTCCTTCCGTGTTCTCATCACAGATGCCCATGCAGATCAGTTAGGTTTGGCCTTGTTTCTCTGACACAGAGAAGGGCTGGGGCTGTACTTTGGGCTTGGGTTGCCAGGTTTCTGGTTTTTGACCAGAACATCTAGTCAAAAAAAGGACCCTGGTGACTCTGGTCAGCACCGCTGATTGGGCCGTTAAAAGTCTGGTTGCAGTGCAGGGGCTCCCTACCCGGATCCACATGGCTCCCAGAAATGGTCAGCATGTCCCTCTGGCTCCTAAGCAGAGAGGTGGCTATGGGGTCTCCGCGCACTGCCCCCACCCCGAGCGCCGGCTCTGTAGCTCCCATTGATTGGGAACCGCAGCCAATGGGAGCTGCAGGAAAGGCACCTGCAGGTGGGGGCAGCACGCAGAGCCCCCCAGCCGCACCTCTGCCAGAGGGACATGCTGACTGCTTCCAGGAGCCCCCTCCCACACCTCAACCCCCTGCCACAGCCTGATGAAAATGAGCAAGTGGGCAGGGGTTGGGAAGAATGAGCAAAGAGGGAGGGGAGGATGGAGTGAGCAGGAGGTGGGGCATCAGGGAAGGGGCAGGATGGGGGCGGGGCCTTGTGGAAGGGGTGGGACAGGGGACAGGGCAAGGGTGTTCAGTTTTCTGTGATTAGAAAGTTGGCAACCCTACTTTGGGCCTATGCCTGTATTGACAGAAATTTGGACACTATACCATGAGATGCCCTCCTAAGCACCAACCAGTGTCTCAACCAAAAAGACTCGAGATTTCAGACCAAATAAAAGGGTTTGGACTGAGCCTATGTGACCCTCCCTCCCCACTCCAAAACCTTATGCCCCATCTTGCCTAGCAATACCCTGGATATGGATGGACACTGTCAGCACACCCCAATCCCACTCTGGCTACAACATCCCATCCTACCAGAGGCTGAGCTGAGGGCACTAATGGACTTGGCGATCTCCAGCAATTTCATGGGCTTAGACTTTGTCTGGGTTCACAACATTTCAACTCAGAGCAAGACCATCCCCAGTGTAGTCTATTGATGAAGCCCTCCTCTCCTTCAGCCTGGTTACTCATCAAATAGCACCCTTGATGGTTACCACTCTCTAGGGTCACTGGGAGGTTCGACTGTTTGGTCTGATTCCTGTACCTCATTCCCCTGTTATCCATGACATTCCCTGGCTTACCACCAATGATTCACACATCTGCTGGGGGCCAGGCACCATATGCTTCACATCAAGACTGCCATCAATTTTGCCTCCCAAAACCATGTTCCGGATTTGAAGCCCCATACAATCTTTGCCACCTACCTGAAAATTCAGAGACCGAATATGGCACACTGAAGGTAACTGCCGCCACCACCCCTGGAATCCCCTTCATAGTTTCAGAAATCCTGGAGAAATATCAAAATTACTCTGATATGTTCAATAAAAAGAATGTGGCTTTGCTGCCACATCATGATTGTAATTGTCCAACTGACCTGCAACCTGGAGCTGAGATACCCTTTGTCTGCATATACTTCCTCTGAGAACCTGAACTCCAGGTGCTCCAGAACTACCTCCACAAGAACCTAGAGAAGGGGTTCATTTGATCCTCCACCTCTCTGCTGGGGGCTCCAATCTTTGTGGCAAAAAGGATAACTCCTTACACCTTTATATTGGCTACTGAGCTCTGAACAAAGTGATGGTCTAAAACTGCTATCACCACTTATTAACAAACTCTTTGAGAGGCTCCATTCAGCCAAGATTTTTACCAAGTTAGACCTTTGTGAGACCTATAACTTGGTTGGAATCAGGGAAGGTGATGAATGGAAGACTGCATTCCACACCCGATAAGGACATTTGAACTATTTAGTGACTCCTTTTGGGTTATATAATGCTCTGGCAACGTTTCAGCATTTAGTCAATGATATCTGGTAGGACATATTGGACCAATATGTGATTATCTATTTGGATAATCTTGTTTTTTTCAGAAAACCCAGCACTGCATGAGCAACGTATGCAGCACATTCTCCACAGATCCAGCAAAACCCAAACCCAGATTTTATGCCAAACTGAGAAATGTGAGTTTGACAAAGACAGTCAAGTTCCTTGGTTATATAATTCCCCCCCCACACACACAAAGGAATAACAATGAACCCACAGAAGGTATCTGCCATCTCCAGATGGAATTCCTCAAAGGTCATAGAGGCATTCAGTGTTTTCTTGAGTTTGCCAGTTTTGTCAAAGGATTCTTTCTAGGGCTGTCAATTAATCACAATTAACTCAGAAAAATTAATCATGATTAAAAAAAATTAATCATGATTAATTGTACTGTTAAACATTAGAATACCAATTGAAATTTATTAAATATTTGTGGATGTTTTTCTACATTTTCAAATATATAGATTTCAATTGCAACACAGAATACAAATATCAAAAGGGTTGCCGTGTTAGTCTGGATCTGTAAAAGCAGCAAAGGGTTCTGTGGCACCTTATAGACTAACAGATGTATTGGAGCGTGAGCTTTCATGGGTGAATACCCACTTCTTCGGATGCATGAGTCCGAAGAAGTGAGTATTCACCCACGAAAGCTCCAATACATCTGTTAGTCTATAAGGTGCCACAGGACTCTTTGCTGCTTTTACGGAATACAGTGCAGTGCTCACTTTATATATTTTTTATTACAAATATTTGCACTGTAAAAATGATAAAAAGAAATAGTATTTTTCAACTCACCTCATACAAGTACTGTAGGGCAAACTCTTTATCATGAAATTTCAACTTACAAATGTCAGGTTTTTTTTGGTTACATAACTTCACTCAAAAACAAAAGAACGTAAAACTTTAGAGCCTATAAGTCCACTCAGTCCTATTTCTTGTTCAGCCAATTGCTAAGGGAAACAAGTTTGTTTACATTTTTGGGAGATAATGCTGCCTACTTCTTAAAGTGAGAACAGGCATTCTCATGGCACTGTTGTAACTGGTATCAGAAGATATTTATGTTCCAGATATGCTAAAGATTTATATGCCTCTCCATGCTTCGGCCATTCCAGAGGACATGCTTCCATGCTGATGACGCTCGTTAAAAAATAATGTGTAAGTTACATTTGTGACTGAACTGCTTGGGGGGGGAAGAACTGTATGTCTCCTCTCTGTTTTACCCGCATTCTGCCATATATTTCATGTTATAACAGTCTTGGATGATGACCCAGAACATGTTGTTTGTTTTAAGAACATTTTCACCGCAAATTTGTCAAAATGCAATGAAGATACCAATGTGAAATTTCTAAAGATGGCTACATCATTTGACCCAAGGTTAATGAATCTGAAGTGCCTTCCAAAATCTGAGAGGGTTGAGGTGTGGAGCATGCTGTCAGAAGTCTTCAAAGAGCAACACTCTGATGCGGAAACTATAGAACCCAAACCACCAAAAAAGAAAATCAACATGCTGATGGCATCTGACTCAGATGATGAAAATGAACATGCGTCGGTCCGTACTGCTTTGGATCATTATCGAGCACAACCCATCATCAGCATGGACTCATGTCCTCTGGAATGGTGGTTCAAGCATAAAAGGACATATAAATCTTTAGCAAATTCGACATGTAAATATCTCACAACGCCGGCTACAAAAGTGCCTGTTCTCACTTTCAGGTGACATTGTAAACAAGAAGCAGGCATTATTATCTTCTGCAAATGTGAACAAACTTGTTTGTCTGAGCAATTGGCTGAACAAGAAGTAGGAGTGATTGGACTTTTAGGCTCTAAAGTTTTACATTGTTTTGTTTTTGAATGCAGGTTTTTTTTTTACATTATTCTACATTTGTAAGTTCAACTTTCATGGTAAAGAGATTGTACTACAGTAGTTGTGTTAGGTGAATTGAAAAATACTATTTATGTTGTTTTTTACAGTGCAAATATTTGTAATAAAAATAAATATAAAGTGAGAACTGTATCCTTTTTGTATTCTGTGTTGTAATTGAAATCAATATATTTTAAAATGTAGAAAACATTCAAAAATATATAAATAAATGGTATTCTTCTATCATGTAACAGTGCGATTAATCGCGATTACTTTTTTTAATTGTTTGACAGCACTAATTCTTTCACCTTATTGCCCCGATAACTGTGCTTCCTTGAAAGGGAGTCCACTTTGTTTGGTCACCAGAGGCACAGTTCACATTTGATTAGCTAAAAAGATCTTTTACCTCAGTTCCTATGCTAATGAACCCAGATTCTGCCAAACCCTTCACCATAGAGAGAGATATTTCCAATTTTGCCTGCGGAGGTTTTCTGTCATAATACAGTGGTTCTCATAACCAATTCCATGCCTGTGTCTTTTATTTATGAAAACTAACCCCCTGCTGAGAAGAATTATGATATCTGGGACAAAGAGTTTCTTATGATAAAGGCAGTTTTTGAGGAATGGAGACACCTTCTAGAAGGAGCTTGGTTCCCAATCCAGATCCTTACTGACCACAAGAATCTGGAATATCATCAAACTGCTCATAATCTTAACCAGCAACAGATCTATTGGTCTCTTTTCTTTGTCAGGCTTGATTTTGTTGTCACTTCATGCCCTAGATTACGAAACGGCAAGGCAGATGCCCTGACCCACAAAGATGAATATGCTGAATCAGGCACTGCTCTCTCCGCTACCATTTTACATCCATCAAATTTTACTCAAGGGACAGCAAACAGGGATCTGATGTCCCTCATCTGGCTCCAGTTTCCCCAAGACCTCCAAACTACCAAGATCTGTCAGACCCTAGATGCTTCTAAAGTTCTGCCTAGCTCACGGTTTCATTTGAAGAATGTTCTCATTTATCGCAGAAGGCCCTTTTATATCCAAGAGGGCCAGCCCAGACTCAAGGTGTTAAAAGATGGGACACAATATACTAATCACCAGCCATTTTGGCCACTTCAAAACCCAAGACCTAGAGTTATGGAATTTCTGGTGGCCAACGCTGATTACTGATGTTAATAGTTATGTTAATTCATGTGATCTGTGCTGTTGGAGCAAGTGCCCATGTGCCAAACCACTCAATCTTCTTCAGGTTGTGCCTACCTCATCTCAATCCTGGGCCTTGGTATTTTTGAACTTCATTATAGAGCTACCCCACTCGCCGGGATGCACCATCTTCCTGGTCGGTGTTGATCTCCAAACCAAGGTGATGCATTTCCATTTGCTGCCTCCTAGCTGCCCAGGAAACAGTCCACCTTTTTCTAGATCATTTTTTCAGTTGCATGGGCTGCCAGGCAAAGTACTCTCAGATTGAGGGTTGCAATTCACTTCTTGATTTAGCCATGAACTCTGCAGACTCTTAGGAATGGAATTGTTTACCTTGTTGGTCTGTCACCCACAGACCAACAGGCAGACAGAACAAGTGAACCTTATCCTTCCAGTTGTGCTGGAACAAGTTTTATAATGGGGGTGCTGAAAGCCATTGAACGAAACTAAATCCTGTTTATGATGAAAACCACTTCAAGCCAACGGGTGCTGTTGCACCCCCAGCATCCCTAGTTGCAGCACCTATTCAGCCAGGAGCACTGTCCTTACTCCTCTGGTTCTAGCCAGCAACTGACCAGCAGCTTCTTTTATATGGGCCTGCTGGACTCTGGCTGCTCCCCACAGCCACTGTAGATAGTCTGAAGGACTCACCTCTACTGCACTTTTCCTGGGACTGAGTATGGTAGGGCTGTGAGGCCTCCAGCAGGGGGCCTCAGGGCGTGGTACACCCTGCCACAGGAAGGCATTGTCAGGGGCCAGCCTGCAGCAAAGCCAGTCTCCTGGAAATCCAGTGAGCACAGCTGGCCCTGGTAGAAGCTGTCTGATTGATTGCACTACCTGACTGGTTGCATGAGTCTTCAGGCTGATACTTTAACTCAGTAGCAGCAGCTAGCCAGGGGCTGCTCAATGCTTTCTAGTCTGCAACTGTGCTTAGTCTTGTCCCTGCCTCCACTGTCTCTAACTTTGCTCCTGCTCCTGCCCTATCCTGTACCTAGTCCAGTCCCCAGCTCTTTCCTTCTCTGACTCCGACCCTCACTATGCCTTCTGATTGTGACTCCAGTTAACTCTTTTGCTTAGGCTCTGATTCCCAGCTATGACCATTGGTTTCAGTCCTGGAGCTGTCCCATCTGGATTCAGCTCTAATTGGTAGGCGGAACTCTTGCTTCAACTACTAGGCCTATGACTCACTGACATCAATATAGGTGACTCCCTTCAAATCAGGCATAAGGCACATTGGTAGGCTATTGTTGAGGGAGATGCTACTACCCACTTTTGTTGCTGTACTTGCTCTATGGACATTTTAAAATTACATCTGCTAATCCAGGGCCTTTCACAAGTACTAAATTCATATACACTTAAAACAAAAGTTAAACACCAGGCAGAAAAATCTTTATGTACATTTT